AAAAATGTGAACTTCAGTAACCCGAACACCCTTATTTACTACTGACATGAGGTGCAAAGGAAATGCTCCTTAGCAAGTGGATACACGGTGGAGTACCGTCGCTGTTTTGGGCTGCTTTTTTATCAATGCCTCCGGTGGTCGCGTGATACTAATGAGCGTGCAAGGTTCGTAATAATATGATCGTTTCACGGAACAAAAGTTTTGTCGCAAATGACCTCAAATGGTCAAATGAAAGCGGATTTCCTGCCAAGTAGTGTGTTGTTTCACAACTCATAGGTATCCAAATTATGACTGTTGGGATGTAGTTTGAATTAATCATTTGTTTTATTGCATCAGTTGTATTTTTATGATTGGTCCGTGTAAGACTTCAATTTTGCCCGTTGAACAATCTGATTGGTTCAGGGTTATATATAAACGCCTGTGATTCCCTTCCCAAATGTGATTCGTGTCCAGTGGAATAGAGAAAATATATCGAGAGCATTTCCTCGGGAACCGACTTTTGACAATGACTATCCTTCCATGGTATTAAAAGTGATACGGTTTTCATTCAGACCATATCCGGACCCAGTAGAAAATAACTGGGCCGTTATAACCTACACAGTTTACTAAGACGTCAGTTCTTTTGGTGTGATCGCGAACGAAGTTCGATTTCATTTTCATTAAAATCCCTGCCTCACCGTTCTTTCCGAAGCACAAAATCACGCATGCTTCGATGACTCATGTTACGATCACCATCTGCTCTGCACGAGGCTGTCAAATGAAGTTTTGGGGGAACAATTCAAGCAGCAGACTGATAACGTGAATATTTTTTAGTTTCACTTTTTACAATCGATAACCGTGCGTGAGTATGTGCTGAACTATTGCCACTTGTCCACACTACGTTTTTCAAAGGATCAGTAATTACTGGCGATCGTTTATTAGCTGGTATATATACATGAGCCCCAACTTCCTAAGGTAGAAAACATCGTTCGACAAACCTAACGCATAAGGTCACTACACCCGTAGTTTTAACACGGTTACATGACTTGGTAGTTTATTATGTATCACGTGAGAATTTCTTACTAGAATAAGGAGGAACGTGTGGGGACCTTTTGATGTTTCAGTGAAAAGTATCAGTTGAGAGTATCAAGCTTGGATTAGCCTATTCGATTGTTCAGAGGCACCAGGCACTCTTGATGGTCTTGGGTGTGGGTTTCACTCCTTGGGAGATCGTTTATTCCCCACTGTTTGTATGCATTTCAATGCGATGGAAATGTTTGGGAGATCGTTAATTCCCCACTGTTTGTATGCATTTAAATGCGATGGAAATGTTTGTGGATAACGAACAAAGAGCACTGGACAGTGTTTCGTCCTGTTTCGGACTCGTCAGCAGTGCGTACTACGAACAAAGAGCACTGGACAGTGTTTCGTCCTGTTTGGGACTCGTCAGCAGTGTGACTCTAAATTGATTGAGCCATTCGCACAAGGTGATAACCGTCGGCCGTGTAGCCCAGGGGTAAGGGTTTGAAGTCCCGACCCGACTGATCACGTTTCGAGTCCTGACAGGGACGCAAAATGTACGCACTGCTGACGAGTCCCAAACAGGACGAAACAGCTGTCCAGTGCTCTTTGTTGGTTATCACAAACATTTCCATCGCATTTAAAAGTATCAGCTTGTTCAAAATTACGAGTTTAAAAACCTGAATAAATATTGAAATTAGATAAAATTGAAATGCTGTCTATGACGATAAAACGATCGTGATTCTTATTTTAACAGGTTCCCTGAAGAGCATTGTTAAAATGTGTGGCAAACGAAGAACCAGGTATTGAAACGGTCCATCGGGTCCACCACCTAATATCCTCCACCTCTTTCACCGTTTTTTAATTCGATTGAGAAAGCTTTCAGTGTGTTTGGGCGAGCTGGAAAAAACGTTTCCAGGTAAAATGAGAATCAAATTCACCTCATTTTGTAAAGATCAACGATCAACGGGAACCTCGGTTTGGAATTTCAGTGCAGATTTGCAAAAAATGGAGCAGTTGATTGGATTTCACTCATTTCGTATGTTGCATTTGACGGAAAATTACTTCCTTTGAACCCTCATTCAGTTCCGTGGGAGCACGCACGCCTTTTTGAACGTTATTTTTCACTGAAAATGTTCCTTTTTTCGTGTTCCTTTTTTTCGCGTGCGAATTTTGCACGTGGCTCATGCCAGATTGTCAAGTCATGTAATCGAGTAAGATATTCAGAAGTGCAGTAATCTTATGCATCAAGTGTGCTGGAAATTTATATGTATTCTCTCATAAATAGTGTGTGCTTAACTAAATCCAGTGAGTATTAACAGACAGGAAAATATGCAGTATAACTTATGTTTTTACACTCTTTGGAATCGACTTACTTCGTTGATCTCAGCTCTAGACTGTTGTCAATCCAGAGTATGAGAACATTCATCCTATGGTCAACCAACCATTCAGGATTCGTAAAGACTCCCGGTTGAATTTGGTGTCGACAGAATCGCCAAAGCTGAATATACTGTTAACCAAGAGTATGCGGGTACCAGGCCCATATTCCGGGAGAAAGAGAGATACAAATAAGCCACGATGATACATAGTGCACGTGACCAACGGCCAGAAAATTACCAACTACATTTATCTAACCACTGTTAATTTACATTATTTATCTGTCCTCACTCATTATCAACTAGCAATCTATTCGGCGAACCGGACCTGGAGGATGAGGATATTTCCCCGGACACGCAAGATCCGGAATTGTCCGCAGAACATAACGATTCAGCTATTGTGACGTCAAATACCGAATCAAGTACAATCCAAAATCACTCAGCAAAAGCCGAAAACAACAAGCCAATAGCCTTACGCGAGTGGTTCCAACAGAAGTGGTCTTTGAGAACTGTGCAGAATGCGGATCCGGTACCGGACTGTGTACGGTTACTCGCGTGGCGTTTGTTTCACGATGATATCGTTACCCTGATTGGACTACGAGACTTGTGGGTCGATCGTCAGGATCGTCGGGAACCTACTCCGCTATGCGATGAGACTGTTCAGGAGTCTCTTAAAAATGAGTCCTGTAAGTTATTTTTTCGGAACCATTTGCCAGCAAGGTGGTGTCGATTTTTGGTGGAATCAAGAAATTAACTTCCAGTTCCTCCTAAACTGCATATTTTGATGATGAATATCTGACTTCAAATACAGCGGTAATAAAATCTGCCATAAACACAGAATTAACTCAACTAGGTAAATGCATGATCCGGGTGTCAAGATAAGGAATTAGAAAGGAATTGTATGCTTGAAGGTGTTCGTAGTTGGAGTAGGTTGAAGAGATAGAGATACATTTAGATGAGGTGGAGTTAGCAGGGTGACCGGAGTTAGACAATTTATATTTTGCCTTTCACATTCTTTGTTACGTTGGGAGATAATTGCTTTGAATGACTTGAGCCCTGAGTAAACCAAGAGAGGACACTGGGGTAGCATAGATGCAGTGTGTACGAGCTGTTCACTCAAGTGTTGCACTCGTTTGGTCATGTTCCTGCAGTGCCCCACCGTCGTCGAGTCAGCGGCAATCACAGATCGACCACATCACTTTAAACCACAAATGGTGGGGTTGCATACAAGATAGTTGATTGTACCGGAGCACCGAATTCGAATCCAATGACGCGTTTGTTTGCATCAAGCTGTCCATGTGCTTCGATGGGCATTCTAAACACACGACCCAGCGACGTTTAAACCGCGATAAAGTTGTCTCAATCGGCATGGTTAGCCGTCTTTCAGAACGTGCTATCTGAAAAACTCCAACCACCCCCACCTTATAACTTCATTCAGCACTGGTCGCTGATCAAGAATGCTCTTCATTCGGCTGGCTTAATTAGTTATGGTTTGACACGTCGAATCGTGACACCGGATTTCCGCTGAGTTTCTGTACCTTGACGCACGTCGGTCACTTCCGATCAGCAGCGAGCATAACGTAACACGGCTTGTAACGAGACGTGAACTTAACGTAAGCCTACGCAGAAATCGCGAAGTCTGGTTTCTCTCAACGTGCGTCAGAGATGTAACGTGCTGTCGCCATGGGAAACTCCCGTAAGCTGTTCCATCTCATCCGGGTCATCGGTAGGAAAACCTTGGGTGTGAGCGAAACGATCCGCGAAGCTGACGGTTCACTTATTCACAATCAACAGCGATCTCTTGCACGCTGAGCGGAGCACTTCAAGGCACAGTTTAGCTGTCCACTAGCGTCGGCTTTTCACACAGCTATTCCGGCACACGTCCCATTGGTCTGCCACAACGGATCCACCTTCTGAGGCAGAAATCCGTAAGGAGATGCAAGCCTTGAGAGGTCAAAAAGCGCCGGGCTCCGATGGCCTTCCCCTTGCTCTATTTAAAGCATGTGGAATAAAGCGTATTAGAGAATTGGTGGCTCTGTTCTCTAAAGTATGGCACACTGATTAGGTCTCCTCGTGGGTGGGAATCGATTGTCGTCCACATCTTCAAAAAGGGCTGGCGCAGAGACTACGCCAATCATAGGGGTAAAAGCCTTTCCCAATAGCGTCAAAACTGTTGGCATCCGTCATTCTCCGCCGATTGTATACTACGCATGAGAAGCAGACTCGCGAGAAGCAGGCTGGATCTCACGCCAGTCGAGGTTGCATCGAGCAAATCTTCACCCTCTGTCAGCTGCTAGGCCCCCGCCAATCACAGAGGGACTAGTCTTATTTCCGTCTCATCCAAGGTGACTACCGCGTTGATTTTTCACAGTTGGCAACGAAAAAGTCATATCCATGAAGAACAGGCTGAACTCCGCTCCGACCGAAGCTGCGTTTACCACATTTGCTGTCAAATTCTCGAGTAACGCTAAACGTTCTATAGGCCAACCATTGTTGCTCTCTTGAACATATGTGCTGAGTTAAACTCAGTTGACAGAGCTTCTCTTTGGATTTATCTGTTAGGAAACGATCTGGCTGATTGAATTCATGATGTAGACTATACAGACAACATTTATACCCCATTACTTTTCGTAAGACTCAATACGTCCTATGCAAGTTAGTGTTGTCCGTCGCGCAGTTTAGAATGACTTTATCCATCAAAATCTAGGGACTGGCAAGAGACTGCACCTGTCTACCCGTTCATGAGCGACCAGTTAGAAATCGTTGATCANAAGGAATATCAATGCGTATCAGCAAGGTTCGGGTGGTTTTCGACAACCTGTGTCACTTATGGCGTCGACATGATCTCAGTCTTTTTTTGAAAAGCCGAATCTACAATGCCATCATACATTGGTCTTACTCGGCGACTGTCCCCTTCAAGCAGCGGACGTACAGAGACTGTGTCTTTGACCACCATGGCTGTCTTTGCATCGCCGGAATACGTTGACAACAGTGAATAACCAACAATGAAGTATCTTCGCTTCAGACAATCTTAGTCGTTCTCGGAGTATCACTATATCGCTCTAAAAACTTCGACGGCTGGGATATGTGTTGCGGACGCCGGTTCAACGATTGTCCCATCGTGTTATGTTTGGGCAAGCCGACACTAACTAATCGCGATGACTAGGTGGGCAACTGATAACCTGGACTTGATCGATGAAGGTGCTAATCTCAAGAATGGCATTTGGAAGACGCAGTAAATTACCAGGTTAGGGTGTCCTGGCTTGCTTGTCTCCATGATCCTGCGAGCTATAAAGGATGGCTCCTCACTGTCACAGATCCATTCATACCTGAACGGTGAATGGGTAGAGATCAGGCGAAGCTCAGTTTCACAGGGTTAGCTGGAAGGACACTTGACTTTCTTTAACTATCTTCTCTCACCCCTTTAGAGGTTACTCTAGCAAATAAATACAAGGAGGGGTAGTTTACCGGTTCAAAAAACCCGCTCGACGGATTTAGCAGTAGGGTATTTGGGCCTTCCTTCTCCGACAAGACTGCACCGTGACGTGGTGTGATGGCTTGCGTGCCTCAATGACCCTGCGAGCTATACGGGATGGATTCTCACAGCCGTAGATCCAATCGTGCGAGAAAGGTCAACGGGTAGAGGCCAGACAAAGCCCAATCTCATAAAGCCAGCTCCTTGGGAACCTCCTGGCTTCCTTCCTTCTATCCATACCCGCCCCTGGGGAGGCCAATCCAGCAAATAAAC